TCCATTTCCTCCTCTTTAGAGGAGTCAATTTCAACTCAGCGAATTTTTAAAAATTATTTATCTCCATATTTCCAAATATCTTATTTATATGCCAGCTTCTTAATTTTTTCAGATTCATTGTTGACTACTATAAATGATAAGGATTTAGCTTTCTTTCACCCCTCCCCTCCACTCCACACACTCAACCTTTCTCACGATCCAGTTTACTCTTCTTCTGAACCATCCTGTCCGTACATTATGGGTTTTGTTAGACCAGCGTTCAGTATTACCTGCTGCCCGGCTTTGGAGCCCAGTTATGGAAGACATTGTGCAAACGTTTGCTTGACATTGCCCGTTTATAACATGATTCTTCTTCAGCTGAGTCTGGTGCCCATGTTTTTTACCTTCTCCAACAAACAACTCCCCTCTCCCCCCAATAATTTCGTCAGAGTTACAGAGGGGTGGTTGCCTGTTTGCACAGAATGGGAAAGAAAACATGGGGATCATCTGAATAGACTTTAACTGATTTTCTTGTTAGTAGCTTCACTCTTACCCCATTTGCAGAAATACCTGAGCCTATGGGGGCGGGAGGGGGAGCGGGGAGAGGGTTCTGTTTGATGTTCCCAATGCCGATTTCAGATGGTTTACTGAAATTTTGGAAGATGAGTTGAAAAGGCAGAATGCTCTCTTTAGATCTTTAAGTCATTCAGCAAGGAACTCCCATTAAAATGGTCTGGGTGTGAGTACTGAAGAGATTTAGATAATCTTAGAAAGCTATATAGTAGAAATTCAAAGATGTTTTAATTAAGTACAGTATTTCTTGCATTTCTGGGTAATCAATAATCCCAGTTCGGCCAGTGTATAATCTTGAACAGGTTTCTTGTAAACATTTTCATCATCTGTAAAACGGTAATAGCATCTACCTAATGATTCTCCTGTGAGGATTAAAGGAGAACAAGTGTATGAAGCCCTAACACATTATTTTGGTCATTATTTACCCAAAATCTGATATCTTAGTTTTGTTTTTATGTTTATGTATTTTCTAATATTTTTATATTGGGACATAATTCACATGCCATAAAATTCCCCCTTTCAAAGTGGGTTCTTAGCATATTTGCAGAGTTTGCAGCCATCATCACAGCCTTTACTTAGAAATCTGTATTTATGATTTTTCAGTTTCTGGATTACAAGACTTAGTAAAGGAAATGTATTTTGTTGGTAACTTGTCTCACTTTTTCTTGCAGGAAAGTTCATATCCTTGGCTCTTTCCAAAACATCAAGATGGCAAGAACTGCCATTTGCAACCTCATCCTGGGTAATAGTTTATTTTTTTGTATTTTCTCTACAAAGAATAGAGGATCTAGAGTAAACCAGATTTGCAAGTCAGTTTAGAGAAATGTTAAAGATAGCAAATAGAGACTCTTGGGGGCTGGCAAATGAGAACCTGAGAGAAGTAGGAATCTTTTTGCTTGGATTCCATGTCTGCTAAAGCGAAAGGATTTATTGGCTTATATTGCTTAAATCTTCACTGCCTTTCCCTGATGAAGGCCGTGCACAGAAAAGCCATTCCAGAGCATCAGGCAATGACACCATATTTTAGGTTTAATGAAAGGGGAGCTGCTGCTGATCAGCACCAGTCAACTTAATCCACTTGGTCCCATTTCCCACAGGGCATCAGAGTCAGTAACTCGGTCCGGAGTTACAGGGAGTGTAGCAATTTACTCAGAAAACACTGGAGATTCTCCCTTGGTGCCCAGGTCTGACTAGCTTCCTTCCTAAATATGTTGGCTCTCATGATTTAAAATGGGTTTTTTTGGAGAATATTTGGATATGGTTTCCTTTTTAGGCCTTTTGTTGATTAAAGATAGATCCAATGGAAAATGTTCCTGTTCTTTTAGAGTTTTGTAGACCATTTTCCATGTAGTTTCTATATATGTGAGTATATTTCTACAGATAAATAAGCTTGTTTTGTTTCCTCTACAGGAAATCCTCCATCAAAGGTTTATGGCAATATTCGAGCTGTGGCTAGCAGAGCAGCAGATCGATTCTGATTTCAAATCAGAAACTTTTTCTTGTCTTTGGACTGTAGCTTACAAATGGTCCCAAGAAACCATGTGAAGAATTTTCGGTCACTTTAAACCTCAGTCTCTGTTTGTCAGTTCTTAGCCAGAAGCATAAACCCGAAAGGGAAAATTTGATAGTATTCATTCAACAGCTTTGAGGATAATTTAAGTATCAAAATTTCATACCATTATTATACTTAAACATTAATTACAATTTCTCTTATTTTAAGTTACATGCATAATTTCTAGTTCTCTTATTTGGAGGAAATATTCTTATTTTTCTATTTGAATTTGTTTTTAAATTATAGATTTATAAACATTTCTTCCCTATGAGTTGTAATTAAAGAACTATTCCCAGAAAATCTCTCTGAATCATGTCCCTCAATACTGGTGATGTGACTATTTTAGAATCAGGTTGTAAGCAGCAGTTTGGCTACACTGTGTTAACCAAAAGGCTAATCTTTCTACCTGTTTTGCCACTTGTAAAATTAAAAATTAAAAAAAAAAAGAACAGTATGCCATATACCCCAGGTCCCTAGAAACATATGCTGTGCAGATGTTTCTTCCCTGCAGCGACTGTGTCAAGCAGCAAGGATGGACCGGCTTCCGGCAGGATACACTGTAGACACTAGATACATTGTAGACACTGGATACATGGTAGACGCTGGATACATTGCAATGAGTTGTAATTAAAGAACTATTCCCAGAAAACCTCTCTGAATCATGTCCCTCAATACTGGTGATGTGACTATTTTAGAATCAGGTTATAAGCAGCAGTTTGGCTACACTGTGTGAACCAAAAGGCTAATCTACCTGTTTTGCCACTTGTAAAATTAAAAATTTTTATCACAATACAAGGTTGACGTGTTATTTTCCACATAAGTATATAAGTTGGGTTTATTTCTTCTAAGTAGTAAAATGATGTTTTTACTCCTAAGAAAATATGTTCTACAAGTGTAATAGTTGTTTTAACTAGTGTCTGCCTAAATAAATATTATGATTCAGCTTATGCATTTTTTAAATGAACTCTAAAGTTCATGTAAGAAAAAGTATTCAGCTGCTGTTTCATTTATATCAGTTACACGTGCCACTGTTACAGTCTAGTCTGTACATTGTATGGGATTGGATATACTTACATATTTTAGTAGGAATCCATTCAGGAATTGCTGGAAAAATTTCCCACCCCAAATAATTTTTTATCCTTTGCCGACACAGCAGCATGAAGAGTATGTAAGATGGGAGCAAATCTCTTTATATTAATAAACTTGGGACACTGAACTTTGATTTAGCACCTTGAGTTCTGGGTACCTCCCTAAGGGAGCAGTAGTACTTGGGGTTTGAAAGGGAGACAAAATGTTAGAGGAAACTCAATTCTCATAATGGGAATAATGAAGAAGGAATCAAGAGATAAATCTGATTATCACAGTGATAGTTGATCTTAAGAACCTGGATCAAATCACTAAATCTAACACCTCAAACCTTAGCCATGGTGTCTATGTTTCTATGCCATTTGTCATGCTATACTGTAATTATAGTGTCTGCCTCTCATCCTACTATCTAGCACAATTTCTGACTAACAATTTACTTATTAGCTGGAGAATGGACATGAGTAGTCTTTTTTCTTAGTGGCTGGTAAGGGAGGAGGCTTAGGTGTTTCCTCCTAGTCATTCCAGAAGATTTGGGTTCCAATACTCATGCTACCTAGAATTAGGATGATAGAGAAGAAAGCTCATGTTCAAGAATCTGGGAAAAGGACCTAACTTTCCTGATCTCAGCCATGTTAAGATTGGGCCAGCATGCTTAATGTTAGATTACTGAAAGTATACAGTGACAATGTACATAGCCATCCTACAACTTGTAAAATGCTCATGGGGAAATGTTAATTACTTATTTGGTCAAATACACCAAGTAAATCTGTAGGTTTGAGAACAAGGAATTGCTCCTTTGATCTGGTTAGCTGATAGATTTATAATGCCCAGGGGAAGTGAAAGGTTGAAGTGGCAAAGGACTTTAAACATTATGTAATGCAATGAGATTTTTGAGTTTGTGGGAATTTTTGAAGACTAAGGAATAATGTTTCAAGACACATGAGTTTGAACAATATTTAAGTCCTGGAAACTATCCAGAAAGATTGAGATGCTTTTTCACTTTTAAATTGTGGTGAACACATAAAGTTTACCATTTTAACCATTTTTAAGTATACACTATTGTGCAATCATTACAATCATCCATCTCCAGAAGTTTACCTTCCCTAACTGAAACTGTACCCATGAAACACTAATTCCCCAATACCTCCTCCTGGCCCTTGGCAACCACCATTCTACTTTCTCTGAATTTGAGAAATCCGGGAACTCATTTAAGTAGGATCACACAGTATTTGTTCTTTTGTAACTGCTTATCCTATATAATAAAGAGCTAATATGCTAATTAGACCAAACAGCAGAACAACCTTCTGGATGAAGCTGGGGCTTCGAGGGCTGGCCGAGGCAGCCGGGGCTTCGAGGGCTAAGCCCCTTGCACAAATTTCATGCATCGGGCCGGGCCTCTAGTTTTATATAATGTCTTCAAGGTTCACCCTGTTGTAGCATGTATCAATTTCCTTCCTTTTAAAGCTGAATATTCCATTATATGTATACCATCTGTCAGGTACATTTGGGTTGCTTCTACCATTTGGCTACTGTAAATGCTGCTGCTATGAACATATTTGTGGGTATACAAATAAACACCTGTGCTGGAGGCTAAAGAACAGTACTTAGCAAACCCTTGCTGTGGAAAGACTGTGGCACACCCGTTACAGTCCCTGCTTTTTAACTTCAGGGTGTGTACACCTAGAAGTGATAAAGCAGATTTGTTTTTACCTATGGATTACATCAATTTACCAGTTTTTTAAAAAATCCAGAAGAATGAAAAAAAAGACTAATGGCTGTGGAAGCCCACCAAAGACCACGGTGAATACACTCAGGTTCCAAATATTTTATTTTTTTTATTCATACAGTATGAAGTTGTCTAAAGATCCCACAACATGATGTTTCATGCAGAAGAAAAACTAAACATTCAACATAAACCACCCTCCCCCCACCCATACACACTTAAAAAAAAAAAAGAAAAAAAACCCTCATTCCCCAGTAAGGAAATAATGTTTGCACTATTTTTCTGTAACGCCAGCCAAGATATGCACAAGCAAGAGAAATAGAAAGCATTTGCTAAAATATCTGTAACAAATACTTATGTACAAAAAATTCACAAAAGACTAGTTCCCCCTTGAAGCAGAGCACATGGCAGTTGACACTGGAACAGATCAAACCACTGGCTGGGATTATAAACCACTGTACTGATCCAGAGGAAGAAAGTTACATGTAGTGGAGATTTTCAGTTTGAACATTAACATTTCCGAAGTTTGGCAACATTATCTTTTAAAATTATGCAAATTATGTAAACAAGAGGTACATTTTAAATCGATCTACATGCAAAACTCCATGTCATGCAAGGACACCAAGCACCGAGATTTTTCTCTCACAGACAGAGCCCATGATGTGCAGCACTCAGTTGAAGGAACAGCAATAGCAGGCAGGTACGCCCAATTTAAGATTCATTCACCTTGACTCAACCTGCCCTTTCCCACTCATGACTATAAAACCAGTTTTACTGAAAAACTACATAGGGAAAGACTACTGTCCTAGAAAGCTAGCCGTAAGGTTTTCTTCAGCCAACAGTACCTTTGTAGAAAAGGGAAGGGACAATAACAAGTGGTGGAACATGATATACTACTTTTATATCACACAAATTTATTAAGTTACCCATTACAAATATGAGCAAATCAAGGAAGAAAATTTTCATGCACTCTTTATGCCTTATGGTAAAGAAATTTAAGAGGTATAAATTTGGATAAAACTTTCTCTTCTGTGGCATACACATGAGTAAGATTTCTCCCATTTAAGTCACAAATATATGTTGGGTGTTTAGATACATACATGCAATTTAAATACCACCCAAGTTTCAAATTAGCTGCAAGTCTTTTGAAACACAGAGGGGAAGTTTGCAGTTCAAACTTAGGTTTAATTACAAGTTATTTACCCACGTAATAAAACAAATGGATATGCAGTTACGTGATTACTTCAGGTACTCTTCATTAAGTAATGTCAAAGATAAATTATGATTGCCTCACATAGCTTCTGGCCTTTATGTATGAAATCACAACTGAAACTTACATGTACTCAGGGACATTTAATAAATGTAATGGCTCCCAGTTATGAAGTAACAGAATGAAGCAGCCGCAAGCTTTGTGCAGGCACTATATGAACACAAGAACGAGCTCTTGGCAGTAGCACTGACTATACTTTCTCCTCAAGCAAAGATGTAATAAAAGCTGCTCAGCAATGAGACATAGTCCCTGGAAATATATTCATAGGTATAAATAAAGTTACAAACTCCTTTGTTACAAAAATGTACTTACGGTAAATAATAGGACGTTAACAAATGCTTTGTCAATCTCTCAAAGGAGAAAGCACAGGAAAGAAAGTAGCTGGCCTAACACCCGGCTCAAATTGTACAATCTTCTACCTATATAAAAAACTGTGTGAAATAAAAGTAAGGATGTTTTATGTTCTGCTTGGCACTTTTGTACTCTATCATTTTGTTTCTGAATCAAGTATATTAAATTAAAGCCAACCTACTACACATATAGAAAGCTACATATATCTATATATAAATATTTACATATGTATATATAGATACTTTGTTATAAAAGATGAAGAAAAATAAATTAAAAAGCCAACCCCTTCCCTTTCTTCACCACATTGATATGCTCTTTTCATGTTGCTGTCCTTCAGACTTTAAAGTGCTACACGGAGTTATTGAGAGAATAAGAGTTCAATAACACTTAGTTGGCTTCATGAGGCTCATGTTGGAAAATGTGGCTTCACAGAGAAAAATACTTCCATTTAAATACACAGAGAGCATTGCTGGACGTCTTGAGCAGATCTTCAGAGATGGAGAAGAAAGCAAAAGTGTTGGGTGGTACTCTTTAAAAAAGAGTCACACATCTACCACCATCTTTTTGTGGATATCTAGGCCACCTACAACCTGCAATGGAACAAATCAAGCTTAGCCATGTTGGAGAAATTCCTTTTTACTAGTCTAAGCACTTTATTAAAACTATAATATAAAAACATACTATTTTAACCATTTTCAGAAGCTGTGTTTTTTCTTTTGTTGAAGTTACATTGCCTCTAGTTAGAATTTTCATGGCTTCTTTCTTTCAGGAGTGTGGGCAAACTTACTCCGTAAAGGGCCAGATAGTAAATATTTTAGGCTTTGTAGACCATATATAGTTTCTCTTGCATTTTCTTTTTTTCCCTTAAAAGTGCAAAATAATATAAAAACATACTATTTTAACCATTTTCAGAAGCTGTGTTTTTTCTTTTGTTGAAGTTACATTGCCTCTAGTTAGAATTTTCATGGCTTCTTTCTTTCAGGAGTGTGGGCAAACTTACTCCGTAAAGGGCCAGATAGTAAATATTTTAGGCTTTGTAGACCATATATAGTTTCTCTTGCATTTTCTTTTTTCCCTTAAAAGTGCAAAAGAAAAACCCCAAAACAAAACAAAACAAAAACATTTTTAGCTCAAAGATGCACACAGTAGGTCATAGGCAGGATTTGGACCACTCTGTAGTTTGCTGACCCCTATCTACCCTTAGTAGTTTAAGAGTAAATGATCACCAAATGTTACCATAAAAGTTGTGCTCGAAAACCAAATATGGGCTTCACTCTCAGTCTATTTTAGAAAAATTAAAAAGTACCAAGTAAGATTTTCTGCACATTATTTTACCATGGAATCAAATATACATGAAATTCTTATAGACATCTCAGTTAATACTAACACGGAAATCTAATCATGTAATTATCTGATTATTTGGGGAATAAACTTTATTAAGTATACCCTACATAAAGAAAGTGCGTTGTCATAAATGTTCATAGTTTGATGACTTTTCCCAGAGTAAACACCTAAGTAACCAGCATCCAGATCACTACGCTGAGAATCAATCCCCGTCCTGCACCAGCCATCTCCCTCCTCCTGCCCCACCAGAGAGGTAGCTAGCCACTCTCATGCCTTTACCACCATGTTTTAGTTGGGTCTTTTATACATTACTTTAAAAAAAGTATACTATTTATAAGAAGTATTTATACTTTTACAAATCAAATCTCTTTCTTGTCTGGCTTGTTTCACTCAACATTATGTTTGTGAGATTAATTCATGTTGCCATTTATAGTGACATCTGTATTAATTTTTAACTTAAACTTACTGATTAAAAAATGTTTACCTGAATAATAAATGTTAAAATCAATTAGTTCTACAACTTCTGCTATGTAAACATTCCTACACCTTTTATTGTATTTGAAGTTATAAGCATTATTCATTGACTTCCTAGCACAGAAGATTTAGCTCTTTCTCACAAACCACTCCCGTCTATCTCCTACTACATATAATACTTCCCACCTCCTTTTTTTCTTATTTTTTTTTACACCTCCTTATTTTGATTAGACAGAAACTCATTTTAATTATCACTATGTAATACTATTTACAACAGAAGGGCATACTGTAATCCCCCCCAACATTTGTTTTGCTACAGTTAGTAATTATCTGCTCTTTTCCTTTGTTGGGTTTTCTATGCATTTATCATTAATTCAATCTCAAACTTTTTGTTCTAAATACATTCAACTATATTATGTAATTCTATCAATTTTATTGTCATTAAGTCACTCCCAGAACTTTCCAACCTGTTGCAATCCAGGCCCATCTCTGAATCTCCCTTCACCATCCTAGAGATTTGTTATTGTCATTAAGTCACTCCCAGAACTTTCCAACCTGCTGCAATCCAGGCCTGCCATCTCTGAATCTCCCTTCACCATCCTAGAGATTTCCTTCTTTCTCATGTTGGACCCTATGTTTCCTGGACCCCACATTATTTCTTTTTTGATTTACAACTTTACTTCACTGGGAGCACATTCTCCAGTAGTTTGCCAAAAAGAGAGGCCTTCCACACCTGAAAATGTCTTTATTCTTCCATGTAGTTTGAGTTTGTAGATAATTATAGTTTGGAAATAACTATTCCCCAGAATTGTGAAGGCAATGCTCCATTGTCTTCTAGTTTCTAATTTGCTACTGAGAAATTGGCACTACGATTCTTGAGTCTTTGTACAAAGCTCCTCCCCGACCCCAGCACCCCTGCTCTTTGGAAATTTGTAGAACCACTTCTCTGTTTCCATTGTTTTAAAAATTCATGACAATGTGCCTAGGTCCAGATTATTTTTGTATACTATGCTATGTACTTTTTAGTGAGTCCTTTCAGTCAGGAAACTCATTACTTTTGATTCATTATCCTTGATTCATTTTTGATGAGTTCCTTCCCTCCATTTTCTTTCTGGAACACCTGGCAATTAGGTGTTAAATTTCTTTAAATGAATCTCTAAATTTAAATTTTCAAGAGCTCTTGTAAATATTATGCAGTTTTTGTTTCAATGATTCAATATATCATGTCCCTGAGGATAATGACAGATTTTCATAAAAAAGTTTTTCCAAGCTTCATTTTGGGGCTTGGCTTCATCTTTATATTTTGTATTAGAAGTTTTCCTCTCATGTCTGGTGACCCTTGGCTCTCTGCTTCTGTAGAAAGGACACTGGAACCTCATGTACATGGTGGGGTGTTGACTATGGGTACACTGAGTGATCTGCTTTGGGAAGATCAGATTTCTCAAAGAGAATTTTTCCTCTCTTGACTGGAGAATATGTCTAGTTGGCAGGGAGCCTGGTCAGGAAGAAGGCTGGAGTTGTCAAAATGCAAATATGCTTATCTTCACCTAACACCTCAACACACAAACCCAGAAAAAAACCCTCATCTGTGTCTTGTGTTTCCCTGCCTAGAGACTCTATTTCACCCTCTCCAATCTCCCACTTAAAGGGCACGAGAGTCTGAACAGAGTAGGGAAGCAGATCTAGTGTTCTAATTTCTTCTCAAACTTTAAGCAGTTTTCCTGTTTTGAACCTCACCTTTACCCCTACTTACAGTCATCTTGTAACACCAATTTCTGGCCCTGTCTGCATTATATACCAGGTTGCTTCTCAGCTTTCCAAGCTGACAGCTTAGAATTCATACTTTCTCCTGTCTGCTAAATCAGTTTACTCACTTATAAGTTGCCAAATCTAGTTGCTATCCTCTCTGCTGTTCACTTTGTCCCTGGGAATTCATAACCTTTTCTTTTTAATTCATTTAATTTTATTGGAGTTTTGAGAGGAAGCAACATTGAAAACAGATGTTAAATCCACCAATTTTAATCTTGTCACTAATTATTTACAAATTTTATTTGTATATATTAAGTATTCTGAAAATTTTAAAGTAGATACATACAGTGTATATAGTCTTTTAAAATAGCTTTTCTCGCCCTAACCGGTTTGGCTCAGCGGATAGAGCATCGGCCTGCGGACTGAAGGGTCCCAGGTTCAATTCCCTCTGTAAAAAAATCAATAAAATATATATTTTTAAAAAAATAGCTTTTCTCACATCTTTTACTGTCATTGCTTTACATACAGTGTATATAGTCTTTTAAAATAGCTTTTCTCACATCTTTTACTGTCATTGCTTGAGAAATCAGAATACAAAGATTACTCAATGAAGCCAAAATTTTGGGTTTGATCAATGTTCAGAAAGGTTGTTTTAAAACACAAAATAAACATTTTTCTCCATTCCTGACCTATACCCCTCAAAAACACAAATAAAAGCAATTTATCAAAAATACTGGAAAATGAACTCAAAGCTTAGCTATGTCTTCAGTGTAAATAGCATTTCTGTAACTAAAACTGTAATTTCCTTCCACCACAGGTAACTTATATGTATAAGTTACATTTTTAAAAAAGGTTTTTATTGATTTTAGAGTGAGAGGAAGGGAAAGAGAGAAACATCAATAAAGAGAAAACATTGATTGGCAGCCTCCTGCACACCCGTTACTGGGGGATCGAGCCCGCACCTGGGCATGTACTCTGATGGAATGGAATCGGGGACCTCTTAGGTCATAGGTCAGGCTGCTCTCTATGATGCCACTACCAACCTGATTTCATGTTCTACTCAATCAGAGGCCAATCCACGGTGATCTTTGGCAATGGTGAAGGGATAGCAAACACCTGTAGCAGTACCACCTGGCAAGAGTTCAAAATCTCAAGTCTAACACTCTTCCAAAAAGACCCAGCCTGTTCTTTAATTAGAGCACTACCCTACTTTTTGAAACGAAATGCAAAGATAGTATTCTCTTGAGATGGCAAAGGATAGTGTGAACCTCTACTTAAAGACAAAGTAGCTACTTCAGTCCTTACATAACATACAACCAAAGTTATTTATTTTTCCTTGTGTGGTCTAAATAAAAAATGGAAAGAAAGGGAGAAGAAATACCTTCCTATAAAAGCATTTAGTCTCTCTGAAAAACTTCAAAACTTTTTTACCTTTGTCATTCTTCTGGATTCACTATTATCTCTAGCTTGCAGTTATAACAAAAAAGCTAACATCTTTGCATTAGAAGTAGAGAAGAGAAGCCTACTTAGAAGCAACGAGTGGTGGCAAATCCCAGGATCTACTGAAGAAAAGCAGTAAGTTGGAAGCTGAACTGTTGCCCATCTCAACCTAGACTTAGTTTTCTAGGGCTCCCCTAACTGTAGTCCTCACCTCTGTACAGCCCTTGCCCCTAAACATAAGAACTACCCATTAAATAGTGTGGAAATGGAAGGGGCAAGGAATCACCTTTTACATTGCCTAATTGGTGAGTTTAAGATGGACAGGGACTCCATCTCTGTTGCCCTCATGAAATCAAGCTTCTGGATTCTATCTGAAAGTCACGAACACGTATTTCCCAAAAAATGGATTTTGAAGCATGTTTATTTTTAAATGAACCTCAAAAAAACATAAATTGTAATTTGAGGAGCTACCAACAATTAGAAAAAGTTACTAGTACCTGTCTCATGGCATGTTATCAATCACTGAGAATACTGGGGTGGCCAAAAGTAAGTTTATAGTTGTGACTACATAAAACACAGAGTTTATTCTTATATTATTATTTGTTAATTATTTTCCATACAACTGTAAACCTACTTTTACCCATCCCCGTATTAATTCTTGAGAATACATTGTTATTCACTAACAACTACAACAAAAAAACACTTCAAAACTTTGAATGGGGGCAATTAGGCAAAATAACTTCAAGGAATTCTCTATTAAGTGGTTTTTTAAATGTTTTTAAAACTAAAGAAGAATCAGATCTTGTGTACTTACAGCACAGAATTCTTCAAAGGATATTCTTCCATCTCCATCCTTATCTGCATTTATTATGGTTTTGTCTACAATTTGCTGTAACTGCGTATCTTTCAGATTGTTCCCCACCATCATCTTCAGCACCTGGAAGAGTTCCCCATTGGAAATATAGCCATCTTTATCCATGTCATAGATACGGAAAGCAACTAAAAAAAGAGTGAGGAAAAAAATCAATGACAAGTATAAGGCAATCATAAGGGAATATTTTCAATGAAAAAAAAACTGTTAAGTTGCCAAACATCTAGAATTGTAACTATGAGGACGGCTCCTTTCTACACACAGATGTTGCCCTTCAGTGCAGTTTAACAAACTGGTTAAGAGTGTTGGCAATGGAATCAAGGGTGCTTGGGCCAATTAGTATAGTCTAGGGCAGTGGTCGGCAATCTCATTAGTCAACAGAGCCAAATATCAACAGTACAATGATTGAAATTTCTTTTGAGAGCTAAATTTTTTAAACTTAAACTATATAGGTAGTTTGCTTCTTCTTTGTAGCCATGTCAAACAGGGCACCTAAAAAAATGGTTCATTTTATAATAATAAAGCCACCAACACAAAATAATTACAATTCTTAAATTGATGACAAAAATACCTGTAGGATTTGCAGCTGGTTGGAAAAATACAGGTAACTTTATGCTTCGAGTAGGTACTTTTGTCACCCACGTGTGATTTGTGGATGCGACTAGCACTAACCTCTGCACAATGAGACTGCTGACTGACTGGCTCACTCAACTCATGCATGAATCGCACGTGCCTCCCCTGCACTGCGTATCCCGTGGCCTGCCTGCGCCGCGACTCCCGACTGACACCCCCACTTCTTCTAACGCCACTTCTTCAAAATAGACTCGCCCAGGCCGAAAACCGACTTCTGCGCATGGGCCACGAGCTCGCGAGCCACGGTTTGCCGACCACTGGTCTAGGGTAACTTATTTAACCTTACCAATAAGCATTTAGTTTCTGTACATATAAAATTGAGGCAAAAAACAGTTCCTACTTCCTAGGTTCTTCAGAGTACTGAATGAAATAACACATGTAAACTGCTTAGAAGTGTCTGATACATAGTAAAAGCTCAACAAAAGATAGCACTTGCTCTTACTGTAAGTCTCATTCTGTAAAAATGAATCAAGAGTTCATTTGCAAAGGATGCCTGCATATGTCCTGTGCTTCAGAGAAATGTTATTGAATAAACCGTCTCCCTAGTTAAGAGCTGAATAATTTTAAAAGGTATCAGAAGTTCACTATAATAGAGGCTGACTACATAAACCAAAATAGTGGACTTCTGGCTAAATATTGCTAAAAACAGTATGTGTAAACTAAATTAACCTACTCACACACACTTTCATTTAAAAAAATCTCTTGTTCAAGATATGTCATTTATATGGTTATTTTCAATAGAAGGGAATTCTATTTTCCTTCTATCCAATTAAAAAGTGACGACACACTGTTAAAAAGTACTAGTTGTAAATGTCCTAAAGCAGCGGTTCTCAACCTGAGGGTCGCGACCCCTTTGGCGGTCAAACGACCTTTTCACAGGGGTCGCCTAAGACCATCCTGCATATCAGATATTTACATTACGATTCATAACAGTAGCAACATTACAGTTATGAAGTAGCAACGAAAATAATTTTATGGTTGGGTCACAACATGAGGAACTGTATCTAAAGGGCCAGAAGGTTGAGAACCACTGTCCTAAAGGATTTTCTCCAGAATGTAAAATTTCTATTATATCTACTAAGGATTGAGAATAAAAGATATTTTTTAGACTATTTTAAAAGGAGTTTATAATGCAGTATGGGGTAGTACTGGTATAAGAGAGAGAATACCTTAGGGAAGAAAAATACTTACACCTCAACTTCTGCTCCTTATCGCCTTTGACACTGAACTGAGAGACTCCCTCAATGAATTCTGAATAAGAATAGAAAACATTTACAAATCTGAAGTTTAAACTTTTTATATAGAACAATACATATTCAAAAAACTTACATATCCACAAAAGGATATATTCTTGCTGCAAAAGAAAATATTACTTAGCAATGGTTAAGATGGAAAATGCCAAACTTGAAACTTCAACAAATAATTTCTAATTTTTTAAAAATTTGAACCTGAAGTTTCTCTGAGTACCACAGAGCATAACATTCAAAAACTTATTCACAAACTATTTAACTCTTTCTTCTTTTAACATGACTATTTAAAAGGGCTTTTTAAAAAAGATTATATACAGTGAAATGAAATGTTTATTTACTTTAAAGTATAGAATCAAGTATAAAATTATGCATCATGTTAATATCAGCAAAAGCACTGCCAAATGTCTTTGTGAAATCTAGATTAACTAAATTAATCATTTTATGATAATATCCATATGCTTATTACTACAGTTTATTTTTTACTGCTGACTTGGTATAAGTCTCATTCTGTAAAAAAGGTTTAAAAAAATGCAGCTTCAAAAAAAAAAATGCAGCTTCTAATGTGGTTAAGTTTCCCTCATGTGAGACTAATTTTCCTAAAACAAAGAAAATACTAAATCTCATTAAATTATCTTATGAAAACAATTTGATCCTTTATGAACCAAAATGTAAATGATTTTTAGTTCATTAAGGTTCATATACCACAGATTTTGAGATTTTAACATACTGTATTATTATAAAAGTACCAGTAATATAAAGGCATTTAAGAAAAGCTAAAAGTTTTCAAACATTTTTGTACATAGAGCTTTTAAGACTATAACTTGTGGTGTTAAAAACTATTTTCTTACCTTTAAAGTCTACTTCTCCATTCCCATCTGTGTCGAATATATCTATTACTCGCTGTACTAAAGGATTCTGTTGTAACTCCGGCAGAGACATGAACTCTTCCACACTCAAAGAACCAGAATTGTCCAAATCAAGCTTCTTAAATCTCTTTCCTAGCCTTTTAATTTCATCAGCATCAACTAAAAGTAAACAAAAATAATAGCATGATTCATAAAATGATTTTATGATAATTATGGGGGGAGGGAGATTCAGCAGTTAACCAATAGTTTAATTTCCAATTTAATTAAAAGAACTACATACACTATTGACTAGCTCCTTCTAACAGAGAAAGTACATCATAAATATTTTTATTTGGTTACCCTTCTGCTTCTCTGCACCTGCCATAACAGATAGCCAACTACATGCTGAGTACACCAAGACATTAAATAGGATTGACAATGCTAAGCTGATCATGGCAGTCAGGTGGTTCCTACATGTAGGCAGATTCACTTTACAGACAGTCCTCGGGTTACGTCGGACTTGACGTACGTTGTTTCATGTTTATGTCGCCATCTCCTATTTATTTATATATAAAAAAAAGTTCTGTCATTTCAACGTATGTTTTTTATTATTTATTTACCACAAATAATGGTCAGGAATTATCTTTCTTTTAAAATTTTTTACTGTTTCACTTCATTACTGTTGTGTATGTGCTCCATGTGAGTGACGTAGGTGCTTATGTAGGTGGGTTCCGACTTACGGCGAAAATTGCATTATGTCGAACTATAGAAACGGATCTCTGACATAACCCGAGGACCTACTGTGTTTCTAACTAGAGGACCGGTGCATAAAATTCATGCACTCAGGGGAGGGGTCCTGGATTGTGCCAGGCCGAGGGACCCCACCAGTGCATGATCAGGGCCGGGGAGGGATGCAGAGGTTGGCCAGCTGGGGAGGGACCGCGGAAGGGCTCCAGGGTGTGTCCGGCCCATCTTGCTCAGTCCTAATTCGGCCAGACCCCAGCAGGAAACCAACCTACCGGTCGAAGTGTCTATCCCCTGGTGGTTAGTGCACGTCATAGTGACTGGTCGACCGGTTGACTGTCTGCCCCCTGGTGGTCAGTGCACGTTCTCAAGTGGTTGAGCGGCCTTAGCATATCATTAGCATATTACACTTTGATTGGCTGAATGGCCGACAGGACAACTGGACATTTAGCATATTAAACTTTTATTATATAGGACTAGAGACCCGGTGCATGAAATTCGTGCACAGGGGGCAAGGGGTTTCCCCCTCAGCTCAGCCTGCACCCTCTCCAATCCAAGACATCCCTCTCACAATCTGAGACTGCTGGCTCCTAACTGCTCACCTGCCTGCCTGCCTGATCGCCCCTAAATGTGCCCCCACTGGCCTGAGCGCCCCACACAGCCTGCTATTCAGTTGTTTGGTCGTTCCTCACTAACCGCCCCTGCCAACCTGGTCGCCCCACACAGCCTGATGTTCAGTCATTATTGTGACAGTGTCCTGGACAATTTGCATATTCCTCTATTATTAGTGTAGATCAGCGGTTCTCAACCTGTGGGTCACGACCCCTTTGGGGGTCTAACGACCCTTTCACAGGGGTCGCCTAAGACCATCGGAAAACACATATAATTACATATTGTTTTTGTGATTAATCACTATGCTTTAATTATGTTCAGTTTGTAACAATGAAATTGGGGGTCACCACAACATGAGGAACTGTATTAAAGGGTCGCAGCATTAGGAAGGTTGAGAACCACTGGTATAGATAGTTCATGGTTCAAAATTCAAAGCTCCCCTTCCATCCTACCCTTTAGATATCCAATTCCCCTTCTTGGAGGCAATGTTGCCAGTTTCCTGAATATTCTTCCAGAGATTTTCTTTGTTAAGTACAAGCAAATAAGATACAGCTTTGCTTTTTTTTTAACAAAAAATAGTAAGAAAAAACAGACCCACAAGCCACAGCTAACAAAATTCACCTTTCAATGCTCAAAGGAGAAAATAAAAACTAAACAACTTAAAAATGTTTACATTAGTTTATAATTACTCTATCAAAATTCAGTATCAGGTCTCTTATCATATGCATTCTTAAAAAAGGTGTTTTCACTGTCTTCTAAATAACATTATTATTTTCATTCCTTTAAAAAACTAATTCATATAAATAATTTTGATCTTGGCTTAATAGAAACAAAACAATTATACAAAAATTTAAATAAAATCACCAGTAAAAAAAAATTAACAAGTTAAATGTTATGCTGCCCAAGAGTATTATGGTCACGTATTATGTATTAGGGGAAAGGTGGGTGATTATAAACAACAGAATCTTATCTCTCACAGTTCTGGAGGCTGAAAGTCCAAGATCAGGGTCCTAACAGGATCAGGTAAGGCCCCTCTTCTCAGTCATATATTATGTATTATGTATACATGTATTATGGTCCACAATATTAGAGACTGAAATTCCAAACTGTTTTGAAAGTTCAAATATATATGGCATCTTCAAAGGTAAAGCATGTATTTTTAAAATCTAAAAATATGTTAAAGTGGAATAAGAACTATAATTATATGTACTACTAAGGTATACACTGTATAACAAGATGCTGCTCCAATATAAATTAGTTCATATGCAGTTGGTAAAGGAGTGATGTCAGTAGAGCACAGAATTATCACTGGTTCATAGGGATTTTTTTCTGACATATTACAAAGGGACCAGGAACAAGTTCTCTAAGATTAAAGAGAAAGTCTAAGTAAAATACGAAAACTCTAAGAAAAAAGGTGAAAACAACAAATATCTCTCTTAAGAGAAAGTAACAGCATCTTTAGTGGCTTCAAGAACTCCGAGGCTTTTCAACATTGTTATCTGGTGGAAACAAGGTGCAAATGAACAAGCTGCAAAGACAATTTCTCTTATCTACCACCTCTCCCCCCAAAATAGCAATTAACAATGGTGACTATACCCTGGTTCAATACTTTTTATAAAATTAGTTTCTGCTGAAGCAGATGCCCTCAAGAACCTGTATCTCAAAATAGAAAGCACAGCTGAACAACTATGGTACAAATGCCAGAGGTAATGCGTGTTAGTATTTTACTAGAGGCCCAGTGCACGATTCAGGGTGTGGGTCCCCACTGGGGTGCCTGGCCAGCCTGGGTGAGGGGCTGAGGGCTGTTTTCAGCTGGTCACACACTCTTCAGGGTGTGGGTCCCCACTGGGGTGCCTGGCCAGTCTGGGTGAGGGGCTGAGGGCTGTTTTCCGGCTGGCGAGTGACTAAAGCTTCCAACCGCTCCTTGTTTTCTTTTCTTTTTTTTTTATTCTGGGCCAGCTTTAGCTCTGAGGCCTCGCTGCTGAAAACATGGATACAATGTTTCGGTCCGGCTGGGTTTCAGTCCGGCTGTTTTCTGGGGTTTTGTTTACCTTCTTATTTGCAACATAGTATATAGTTGCTTAGACTTGCAGCTGAGAGGCTGGCAAGTGAGGCGGCGAACGTTGGAGTCTGCAGCAAGCAAGCCTCGTGCTCGCTTCAGTGCCTGGCTGCCGGCCGCCATCTTGGTTGTCAGTTAATTTGCATATACTCACTGATTAGCCAATGAAAAGGGTAGCGGTTGTACGCTAATTACCATGTTTCTCTTTTATTAGTGTAGATTTTTTTATTGGGGAGGGAGGGAGGGAGGGAGGGAGAAAGTGTGTGTTAGTATTTTATTGTTAGCACTTGGTTACAAAGCTACTAAAGGAGTGGTCTCCTTAGCCATGTTTACCCAGCATATGAGGTTATTCAGGAATGCACATGTTGTATTATAGTAGAAATGCCTTTACATTCATTATTTTAATGATTCATCTAAACCCTGCTTCAAACAGCAAAATACACATATAGTAATTCAATCAAAACCTCACAAGCACATTAACTTCATAGAGCATTTTATCCCCTTATGAAACAATATTCCTTCTTTAATGGAATAGATGATAAAAGCAGAACTGTTCAACTAAACCTTACTTTCCAATTTTCCATGATGAAATTAGATAACCATGTAGGGAACATAATAAAGTCCCACAAATGCTTTTGACTTACTTATTTACATGCGTCTCCCACCACTCAGGGCAGAGTCCATGACTTTTTCAATGGCATTCTGTACATTACATATAACAGGTGCTCAATAAATGCTTACATGAGTATTAATTCTATGTTTCATATTTTAAGCTTATTGATCAAAATGCCATCAGTATTTGAAGTAAAACCATTTATCTAACCAGACACCAATCAGCAAGCCTTTCAGAATTTTTTCAAAGTTCATACATGTTGCTGAAAGCTACCTCTCCATGCTTGCCTTAATTTTATGTATATACTAAGGATTAGTTAACTATCTTCTTCTAGCAATCTTTAGTTTGCTTTAGTTTACAACCACAAACCACAAAAGGTGATGAGAAAACTGAACATTAATGAATGACTAAAGTAAGTTACAAGTAGAAAAGGAAAGACAGATGACAGTGTTTCCACAAACAGTACACAGATGAATCAGGGGTCATTTTCATTTAACAATAGCTCTAGAATATATCATTAATGGAAAAGAGGAAAGGTAGAAATACAGTGCCATATATTTACGGAAACTATCTGTGAAATTCCATTTACTGAGATAGGAACATAAATAACAATTTGGAAAGTTACATTAAAAAAACTGAAAATGAAGTGCTTGAAGGATTATGTTTTAACAAGAGGCCCGGTGCATGAAATTCATGCACAGGCAGGGTGCCTAGGCCTGGCCGGTGATCAAGGCCGATCAGGGCCTTCTGGCTGCTAGCTGGGGCCTCCCTTCATTCTGTGCTGCCCCCCTGGTGGTCAGTGCATGTCATAGCAAGCGATCAGTCTCCTGGTCTAAGTCCTGTGGGGACAATTTGCATTAGGCTTTTATATATATAGAGGCCCAGCGCACGATTAAATCATGCGCGTGTAGAGTCCCCTAGGCCTAGCCTGCCATCAGGGCCATGTCCACTGCCCGACTCCTCACATGCTCCGCGGACGCTGCCACCACTTACCCTCCACCGGATGCCAGGTTCTCACCTTCCCTAGGCCTGGAGTTCACCCACTTGGAGGATGCCTGTAGGCAGCAGCCCATTGTGGAGGCCACTCTTGGCGCCCTCCCCTTTGGCCATGACCCGCGGGCCACGCCATCTGGTATCGGGATGCCGGGATGT